GAACACGAGCAGACGACGACTTTGCCAACCGCCATTATCCAAGCGTGGATGGTGACATGCATTGACATATGTGAACGGAAACGCGGCTCAACCCGCAGGCAAAACCCAAGGGTCCAGCACAGCCTTAGTAAAAGCTTAAGCCGTCATAAGCCCCCCTCGATCATCCACCATCAGTCATCATCAATTGCACAGCAAAACATAACCATCAATATATGATATTCAGCTCAGCCCCCCTTGACGACAGCCGCGAAAACAAATCACCAATCACAACCTGGATACGAAAGATCGTCCCTGCAGGTCAGAAGCCCTGCCTTGCTTTCTGTGCCCCATCACCCCCAGGCTACCACTCCATGCTGAGATCACTGTTCAGCTGGGGGTTTTATTGTTCAATATTCCCTTTCTGCATTCGTATCCTTCTTTGCAATTATCAGCTTGGCGGCTGGGCAAGGGTTCATTACGGAGTACAGAACAGTGACAGTCGGACAGGCAGCAGAATAAGAGATGCATGCTCCAACGGTAATAAGAATGAGACCAGGGGCGGAGAGTCCAAGAGGACCAAGACTCCAGAGTAGGATCAACCGGGGGATGCTGTGTTGGTTCTAGGCTCCAGCTCTAGGTTCACACGGCAGCGCTAGGGGACTTTTTCTTTCTGATATTCATTTGCCATTTACGTGTAAAATCCCTGACGTCTCTTTGTTGAAACTCCATCGGCCCATCGGGAACCCGTTGAAATTGACATACTCCATCTTCCATACTGCGTAATGTACCTAGACGAACGAAAACCCTTGAGTAAGCTAAGCGATAGCGAAGTTTCCTCCCCCACCGGATAGTTAACGGTGGGCCGGCCGTGGCTGATGTCCGAACCCGAAAAAGATGCAGCAATAAATTAACATTGCTCGTGACGGGTACGATTGAACCGGGGTTTTGGGAAGTGGTCCAAGGGGTTGGAGGGGCGCAAAGAAGGATCTCCAGGCTGCACACACACACACACACGAGCGATGACAGCGCAGCTGCACAGCTTAAACCCCAAGCACCCAAGCACCAGCATCATCAGAAGCTAAGCCGAGAAGAGTAGAGGGCGCTGCGGCTGTGTGAGTGTGTGTCCAAGGTGAATCTGTAAGGCTAAAAAATAAACCTTGGCTCTTTCTTCCCAACCATCCTTCGTTCTTCCTTTTCTCACTTTCTTCCACTTACTTACTCGATCCTTCAAATCCAGCACTCGAGCATCTCCGGGAAAGAAAGCAAGGGAAAAGGAGAACCAGTGGCAGGAGGGAAACTCAGGAGGGGGCAGCAACAGCATCATCGAAATCTTTGTCTTGATGAGATTGCAGAAGCAGCAGCGCCGGCCAAGTCCAGACGCGACAATGGGCACCGGCCAAGGGAAACGACCTCCCCCGAATCAGCAACAACAGCAAGAGCAACAGCGTGCGCACTCACCTTACCCGCCGCAGCAGCGATACTACGCCCAACAACCACAACCGCAACCACAACCTCAATATCAACAACAATTCCAACCATACCAACCACCGCAGCAACAGCAATACTACAACCCTCCCCGACAGCCTCAGTACGCCTCCAGGCCAACTTCCCCAAACCCGCCTCAGCGCAAGCAGACCCCTCAGCAGCAACACCAGCAGCGGTACCCCGCCCAGCAGCAATTCCTCGCCGAGCTAGAAGTCCCAGCCTCTGTCCCGAGACCGACATCACCATCGACGTCATCGCCCAACGCTACCACATCCGCACCGGTGCCGAGTGCCGGAACAGCTCAACATGGCCCCGTTGCCTACGAGATGCCCGCCGACGACTTAGTCACGGTCAAGCCTACAAACCAGATCCATAGGAAACCTCACAGGATAGCCTCTGCCTCCTCCGTTACCGCACCATCACCATCAACATCGCCGCCTCCAGCATCCCCTACCACGGCCACAGCTGTACTTCAACAAGACGACCCGGATCAACCAAAGGACGAAGAGAAGGCCCAGCCGCCGCCGCCACAGCCACCTCTCATCCAGGCAAACCCATGGGGGTTCTTTCTTGAGGATGATCTCCCCTCTCGCAACAGTGACTCCCCCTCACCGAGCAAAGATGACGTCTCATCGGTCCCACCGGAGGAACAGAAGCTATCGGTGAAGCCGTTACGCATCGTCAAGAGCGGTTCTACCGAGGAGTCTAGTGGTCAAGGGAGCCGACCCTCGAATAGTACCGTAGATGATGTGACGCCCAAGCCCTTACAGCTTGCAGCAGCAGTGCCGGCAAGGCAGGATAGCCCTGATACGGCCCAGCTCAAACCGGCACCACTCAAGCTCGCGCGGCCGCCGCCCCCGGCTGCAGAACATCGTCCCTCCCGGACCCCAAGCCCGGCCAACCCCGCCGCTCCGGCCGCCAGTGTACCGCAGCTTCCGTACCCCGCCGAAGGTCCGTCTATTCCCACGCCGGACTCGCACCCTCAGCACCAGCCAGGAACACAAACCGGGGCCCCGCCGACGCTTCCCTTTGGCATTCGTCCCGCTGGCTCCCCGCCACCGGTATCCCCTTCCTTCGCGCCCTCGCGACTCTCACCAGCCCCAACGGGCGCCTCAGTACTACCGCAACAGCCGCAACAGCTGCAGCAGTCTCAACCCCATCCTCAACCAACTCACACTCAAGCCGCCCCCGTGTCTCCCGTCTTCGTTCAGGCTGCTCTACCGCCAACTCTCCCCGTGAGCTCCTACTTCCCTCAGCAGCCCTCATACGCCAAGCAAGAAGCCACCTCGCCCAATCTTTCGGTCCATAGCCCAGTAGCCTCGGCACCGAGACCATCAACATCACAGGGAATCCCCCAGGCTTCTCAGCACTCACCGGCCCAACCCTACGCCTCTCCTCCACCTTCATATACCCAGGCAATGTCTCAAATGAACCTGTCGAACACTTCACCATCGCCCACACAGTCACAATGGCTCCCTCCACCGCCACCTCCCCAAGGCCTATCACCGAACCCAACCGGTGTACCACTACCCCTGAGCCCACCGCCGACGCAGTATCCTTGGTCTCCAAACAGTGTTGGCCCCCAATCTGCTCCCCTCCAACAGCAGTTCACGGGCTACAACATGCCGCCCCCTATCCCCCAGCCGACCTACGTCAACGGTAGCCAACAGTTCCAACCGCAGCCGACGCAGACACCGCCGCCACTCCCGCCTCGCAACTCCCCGCCCATGCCGGGTACACCGCAGTCGGGCTTTGGCGCCCTCACGCCCTATGCTGGACCTCCTCCCCCGACCCGGCCAAACTACCAGGCCCCGCCGCCGAAATCCGAATCGCGCCTCTTCAGCAGTGCCACGGCACGGAAGCTTCTCACCAAGACGACCGAGCTCGTAGACCAGACCATCACGCCCTACCTTCAGGACAATAAATACTACCGGCCGCCCTACAACTGGTATCAGAACCAGAACCCTCAGAATCAAAATCAGAACCTTCACAATCAGAACCAGAACTACCAGAACCAAAACCAGAATAATCAGTATCCGAACCGACCGCAGACAGCAACGGGATACCCGGCGCAGCAGCAGCAGCAGCAGTACTACACACAGCAGCAGAGCTATGCTCCCTCTCAGCGTGTGTAACCTGCCTGGGGTGTTTCTTTGTTGGCCACGAGACTAACAAGTGTGTAGCAACATACGCGCATTCTCAATCATCGCAACAGAGCCAAGGGGTCACTCGTCCATCTTGAAAGTTCTGAGGGGTCTTGCGAGAAGAATATAGCTGGGTAGGGCGATGAGCTGCCCAACGTGCCGACTCCGTGTGAACATATGTGAACACATGCGAACATGGGATATGCGACATTCACTGCCACCAAGCTGCTAGAACAACCATTTTCACCCCGAACCACCATGATGGAAAACAACACAATCAACAAAATGTGTCCATGATGCAACACATCTCGTAGACATTTCTGTTAATTCGACGGGAGAACGAGCGACGCTTCGCTGAAGACAAGTTGTTCATAGACATGAGGCGACGATGAAGTTGTAGCCGCTGGGTGCTTCTTGGTGTTAAGACACACAAACTCTACCCCGGTGGCGCGGGGCCGTTGGACCGAGCGAGACGCGCGCTTGCGTGAAGTGACGTCGAACTCACCAGGATGGGATGCTCAGTGGAAGCCACGCACGCGACTCAGGATCTGACGCGACAGGTTGCGTCCAAAGCGAATATCGTTTTGGGTTTTGGCCTGGCGGTGGGCGGCCGAGGAAATGCAAATCTGATGTATCACTGAACCAACCCTTTGCATCTGCTGGGATCCATTCAGTGCGACATAGACGATGGCTATCCCCATTTGCCTCGGGGGAAACCGAACTGGATATATAAACTATAATATCTATAACCATCAGAATACCATCTTTGGTGATACAATCATGTAATAGACCAGCGCAGACGAACAGGAATCGGGAGGCCCATCAGGAGGATTGATGCTCAAGACCCTGACATGATGTCATCGACAACAAACCCAAGATCATTGCGGAATGACATAACCCCTTCTTATCAGCGATAGCATCTTAAACTTTCGTGCCTTGCTTGTAAGTCGCGCCGAGTTCACGCGGTACCCAAGACGCAGGGTCCATGGGGAAGGTAGGGCCATCCCAGGCAGAGGCCGAGGTCCTACGGAAGTCAAGGAAGCGGCCTCAGAAAAAAAAAAGACTCAAGTTCGACGTTGGACTCGGGGTGGGCATGGTTCTCTCTCTATAAGGTGAACGCCGAGCACCTTATGCCAAGGCCATAATCCCTCATCAAGTCGTTGCCCGACGGAAATGAGGGCAAAATGAAAACTCTCTTTTCCTTCCTGTGCACCGCATGCCGCAAAGTTCATCTCAAGTTCCGAGGGTGCGGATATGATCCGTGTAAGGTGGGCTCAACCCGAGTCAGTATCTTAGGAGTCTCCGGCAGATGATCTGGCAAATGAATAACTTCATTTTTTCCCCTTCCCTACGCCCAGAAAGTCATCTGACAAATGTCACCTGTGCGGAGATGGAGATAATGTCTGCGTCAAGGAACGAAACAAGCGTCCCGAGGTTATCGCTGAGCCGACAGTAAGTATCCGGCTGTTGAGCAAAGCCAGGGTGCCGGCGATAGCAAAAGGCAACCTCGGCGTTGAAAAGGCACACTTGGCCGGCCCAAACCGGGCCAGGACCCCCGGCCGTGCTCACGCTGTCCCCATCTTCCCGGTGATCCGGAAGTGTGTGCAGAGGCGTTCATGGCTTTATGTTGCGGCCCGGAGCTTGGGGGGAAATGGTCTGACGGCGTTTCGAGGCCCATTCATCGGACATGGGATGTGGCTGGACCACACTGTGGTAGACACCGGAATTCCAAAGGCAGCTTCAGGAGGCCGCTTCAGCGCTTGTCTTTGTTCAGAGTGCCGCCGTGAGTGGTTCGCGCGTCAACCGCCTCAGTACCCATGCGTTTCGGTGATGGCTTGTATTCCTTTACTCCATTTTCGCGAATCAATCTTCCGACTTAGCCTGCCTTACCATGTTAGACAGATCTTGTGACCATAGGGTTCAAGTCGAATGGGTGGAAGCAGGCAAGATCAGGCAACTCGCAGATGCTCGGTGAGGACAGCGCCAAGCGCCTCTCAAAGCCATTCGAACCAAGGGGCGGGCAGACCAGACGATCGAATGGCGGTGATGTGACGGAGGGCCCATTGATGCCGTCCAAGCTGCAGGTGGATTGGCCGATGCGGGAAACCCGAAAGTGATCGGCACTGGCCAGAAGCTCATCGGCCTTCATTCTTGAAGGGCGTTCTTCCACAGTAAGCTCTCGATTGCTTGGCTCTGCGGGGGTCTTGGAAGCACCGGCAACAGTATGCTCATGGTTGGTCAAGTAATATGCAAATACGCAACAGCCTCTTAGCCTCGACAACTCATATTCAAACCGTTTTGATCAGACCTTTATGATTCTGAATGGCGGTTGACTGGTAACGGGTGCCGATCCATGCCTCAAACCCATGCTGAACAATGGAACTGACATGCCAAACACTAGGGGGCTCTGTTCTTGCAGAATCCAGTTGTTTTGTCGTTTGGCTGGCGTCGAACCCCGGAATTAGAAGCTCTGCTGACGTTGGAATCCGAATGACAGCTTCTCTGAAGACGTAAAACATTGGTCTTTCGGCCGGGACCAGTCTAGATTTCGTAAGCCTGGGCATCTCCGTCGTCCCAACTAGCCAAAGGACAAAGCGAAGGGAACGCCCGTTGGCTTGTGGAGGAACGAGTGACATTCCTGAGCTGACACTACGGAGACGGCGTGATGGACCGTCTCCTGTTTCGAGACGTACGTGCGGCCCAATGTATCGAAATGTAGCCAGGGCGCACCATAGCGCCGCTAACGGCGGTGAGCTTCCAGAATTCTATCCACCATTTGCCGCTTCTCGAACGTCTCTAATTTAGGACGTCGATATGCAAGTCACTGGAGCTGCCTTCCGGGGTTTGAGGCACGCTTACTCACAACTGACAGCCGATAAGATATGGAGACTCGGAAGAGGCATTTAAATGCCTTTCCGCGGCCTCCCAATTTTGTTAATGCCGATTGCAGCATTGCACCCATTCAAGACCAACAAAGCGCTGGTGTTGTTACGACCCCAAGACCGTGACTCAGTTACAAGTGGTGGTGAATGACAAGTGGCCATCAAAGAATCATGCTGGCAGAGGGCGGCTCTAAACGTTGCCGAATGGCCATGGCATCTCTGTGAGCATCCATCATGGGATAAGTCATCCTGAACTGTGCACTCCATGCGTAGTTTCCGACAATTGGCAAGCACTCGCGGGGCAGTACCGTCGGGAGGCAGGGAGTGTAGGGTCGGGGATACAGCCCAATTGCTCGGAGAGAGAGCCAACTAGAACTGGGGATCGCTGTCCAAAGGTTGGTGCCCAACTCGGACACAGTTGGCTGAATAGCGGACGGTTCGGACGTCTGAGTCGCGAGCTTCGGCCACGCTGAGGGTAAAATCCAGGTTTTGGCTGCCACACTGGGCCCTCAAAAAAATCTTGATCAGGCCCTGAAATGCTATTTTGTTTGCTCAATTTGCTCTGCAATCAAGATTTTTCAAGTCTGACTTGCTCCTTATTCGGGGCAGACCGAAAGACCTGGAACAAGAGTGACGTGGGCGACGTCGAATAGCTTCCATGGCGTTTGGCCCCATCTAACGCCACAGAGCGCTCCTCTAGCGCACGGCGCATCTGAAAGGCGGCACCGCCAGAGATGAGATGCTGCTCACGATACGATGGGCGGTTGCATTGCAGGTCATTCATTCTCTTTTGTGCATCGTAGGCGAGGGGTGGAGGGACCGAGGAGAGCTTCCCTTGTAACTGCCTCTTGCGGGAGATCCTTTGCTGTTTTAAGGGGAGATGGCCAAGGGGGCCTTTCGGTATCGGAACTTGATATCTCGGATGTCAGCAGCGACACCCGAGAGGCTGTTGTTGCATGACGAAGGAGGTGGTACTGTGCTGACTCTCGTACCTATGCCTCCGAGCCCGATGATTTTGCCATCCAAAGGTGCTTGCTTGCTTCTGAGGTATGGCCATTTTCACCTATGCATTATGATATCGAATTGAGGCTGGAGGGGTTAGCCCCTGTAGGATACTGAAAATAGGCATCTCGATCTTGCAGCATTGGTGCCCTCGACCGTCCGATTTATGACTGGTCTCCTGACCGACAGTCTGGAGTTATTTTTCCTGGTGGGCTCGAGCGTCGTGGTCTCGTTGCGGGGGAGAGGACTAAGAGCGGTGAGGCTCTCGCCGGTTGGTGATTAGCGCATCCTACTCTGGCGGGAGCAGTGTCACCTGAGGGATTAGTAGCGGTTACTGGTAAATGCGGCAATGTAGAATTAGGAGGTTGTGATATTGGTCCAGGACTTATATGCCGGCTACCGTTGAAATTGGCATGACAAAGGCCTTTGAGTTGCAGATTGGTGAAATCCAGATTGATGCTGACACGCAAATGGCAAGACGAGTCGACTCAATCGAGGAGAAATCTGACAAGGTTCACTTGTAAGGGCGCACGCCCGATGTCTCTACTCCGTACCTTAGCTCGTTGCGGTCCGTCGTGGGAAGCTGAAAGCATCGCTTCAGGGGGGATGTTCCGGCAAGGATCCTGAAGATGTGGTGGTTCGCGCCCTGCGTGTATCCGTAGCCGTAGCCCGGCGACAGATGGGTCTTGGTTGGCTGCAGGTGATACTTTGCGTCGGTGCTGATTGCAGTTTGGTATGTTATCTCAAAGGAAGCCGCCTGGTTACATGGTGCATCTGGGGATTATTGCGATGACGATAGCCCTGCCTAACTTGGGAATGCTGAAGAAGAACCGGTGCCAGACATGTCCTACAGCTCTGAAAGCTGTTCCGCGGCAGACTCTCCATAGCAAAGAGCGTTGAGGTCGGAGATCGGCAGGTTTCCTTTCAAGAAAAATTCACAGAGTATCTGTACGGTGGGTTGAGTGGTCGGTTCAGGGTCCTTGCCGCCGTCATGGTGTCGCCCCTCTCGCATCATTCCGTGTCATTGAGAGGGCCCCCATTGAGAATTTGGGCGTGTTCAATTCGCGTTCGTTCCGTACGAAGTTCGGAAGTACAGAGTAGGGTCAGTACCCAGACTGCTGCAAGCCTGCAAGCTCGTCTTCCGAAAGTAGTGATTCTAGACAGGGTTCTTGGGTGTTGGAGAGAAGGGTTGGGGGCGGCGGTAGCGGTTTTCAGGCTTCGAAATTTCCCCCTTTGGAGCGGTGGAACGTTGGGCGGGTGGACCGTGGGACTCCATGTCGGGCTGGCGAGGGGCCTACATGTCTCGACCAGGTATTTCCCCGTCGTTGTCCAGTGACCCCGGCGGAGAGAGGTTCATTGCATTGAATTGCATGGCCAATGCGGTGTTCCAATTTCAAGATGGGCTCAAGATGAGGATGAGCTGGTGCTTGGCCAGACCACAGATCAGCCTATGCGTACGGTACTCGGGGCTCGGTTGACCGGTTAGGATGTGACGAGTGTCGCAATTGTAGTGGTTGAGCCGCGGCGGCTGTGTTTGGTCTATGTAGCTTGGTGTCGGTATGCCGGTATGCCTTGGTAAAGAGGATTTGGGTAAAGCTGTGCCTTTGTGATGTCGTACTTGGCTCGCTTTCTGTGCCGGTATTTCTTTATCTGGGGTGACGTGAGAGGTGAGGTGATGTGAGCTGAAGCGACCAGGGCATGGCATCTGCGACAAGCGCGGAAGTACGGGAGCTCAGGATGCTGGCCGCTGGCGGGCTGAGGCCACAGACCAGTTTGGTTACTGGAGCCGGCATACGAATCTTGAGGCAAAGAGATGCTTCATGAGGCGGTGTCAAGCCAGGTGGACAGCTCGATTGTTGAATTTGATGAATGGTTGAATAGACAACACGGATAGTCCAAGTTGGAGCTGACGTTCTTGATGATGACAGGGTACTCCGTAGTATGGTCAGAATACCGGTAGAGACTTGCCAGGTTGAGGACGGGTGGACGGCCGGACGGGTAACTACGAACCAGCAAGTTGGCACCGAAAAAGAAGGCTTGCTGTGTCGGGTTGCTGCCCGTATCGTCCAGCATAATTAATGGAAGATGCCTTATGTAATGCCGTGTGGGAGAGGGGATGGAAGGCCACCCGAACGCAGGTAGAAGGCAGGTATTCGGACCTTGGGCTGGAGGGAACGAGCACGGAGAGGGTACGTGCGGCTCTCGGCAGAATTGGCGTGCAAGGGTATGTACCTGCCACCGGATTTTCGACAATGGGGGTACTTACCTAGATTCTCAGGCTCAGCATCTAAGGTACCCAACATAGGTACCTACCGTAAGTAAGGTAGGTAGGTAAGGTACCTTTGGAAGGCACCTACCTGCGCAACTGCGGCCCACAGAGTAAGGTAGGTACCACGGATACCTCGTCTCCTTCGTGCCTTCTTCCTTGGTTCTATTTCCCCCGTCCAGTCTCCGTGTCCCATTTAGCACCCAGCGCCTGTCCGCCCCAGTGAGGTGGTCCGCCGCCCGCTGCCCGCCGCCAGCCCTCCTTCGCCCTTCGCGTGTCGCCCAGTCCTTGAGAAGATGAGAAGTACCTAAAGTACTCCGTAAGATAGGTAAGAGCGCCTGAGGGAAGGAAGGTGGTGCTTTTCTCCATTTTGCCTTGTCGCCTCCACTTTTGGGCTCCCATCCCATTAAGGTACCCTCTTCCCATCCTCTCTCACCCTCCTCCTTCCTGCCTTACTCTTCCTTTCTTCACCCCACGATCTCTTTCACGAGCCCTTGATTGCCAAAGGCTTCTTGCCCGAACAGCACATCGTCTCTGTCCCCTTCACTTTGGACACGGCTTCGTTGGCATTTGAGGATAAGGTACGCATCCATTTTCCATTCCCATCAGCATCAGCATCAATTACAAATTACCCCCTCCCGGCCCCCATCAATCCATCCGCCCCCCCCTCTACTCATCTTGACTTTCAAGAGCCCATACTGACCCCGTTCACCTCTTTCGTCACATAGGTACCATCAAACCATCTCACACACACACGACTCCTTCCACCTCTCCCGACAACACATACGTACAAACCCTCTACAGGTGAGCCTATTCTTCCTCTTTCGCTATATTCCCTCAATTTTCGACTACCTTGATCCTCAATCCGTCGACAATCGTTGCCTTGTCGGACTTCACCCCTCTCCCTCTCCCTCTGTCTGGGGTTCACTCTTCCTCTGTTTTGCCCAGCCTAGCCTCGGGCTGACCGTGGGTTTTGGCGGTGGATCCGAGCTTTGCCTCATTCAATCCTCTCTTCCAAGGCCTCGACCAACTCTATCCACTCTTCAACTTTCCCACTTATTCCTGTTCTCACAACGTCCTCACATACCTCCATCGCTCCAACGGCACAGTTCGAAGCCTTCTATTGTCTCATGCATCAATACTAATTCTTCGATTCTACCCAGCCCATCGCTTCGTTGTCGATTAAAACTCTGACCCGTCGATCGACACCCGACCTACCAACCAAAATCTGCATCCGAAAGGTGCAGAGTCAGCACATCAGTCAAGATGACCACAATGGTAAGTGGATAGTCGACGGTCGGTTCTATTCGACATTGGGCACAGTCTTGCCAGGAGCTATATATGCTCTTGTTGAAAGGGCCCAATCTGTCGATGGAGCCGCTTGCTTCCAACTGTCATTGCACATGGCTAACGACAATTGGCAGGATCTTCGTGTCGGTAACAAGTACCGCATCGGTCGCAAGATCGGTTCTGGTTCTTTCGGTGATATTTACCTCGGCACCAACATCATCTCCGGCGAGGAGATTGCCATCAAGCTCGAGAGCGTCAAGGCCAAGCACCCCCAGCTTGAGTATGAGGCCAGAGTCTACAAGTCCCTGGCCGGCGGTGTCGGTATTCCCTTTGTCCGTTGGTTCGGTACCGAGTGCGACTACAACGCCATGGTCCTTGACCTCCTCGGACCCAGTTTGGAGGATCTCTTCAACTTCTGCAACCGCAAATTTTCCCTCAAGACCGTGCTGCTTCTCGCTGATCAGCTGATTTCTCGCATCGAGTACATCCACGCCAAGTCTTTCATTCACCGTGATATCAAGCCCGACAACTTCCTCATGGGTATTGGTAAGCGTGGCAACCAGGTCAACGTTATCGACTTTGGTTTGGCCAAGAAGTACCGTGACCCCAAGACGCACTTCCACATCCCTTACAGAGAGAACAAGAACCTTACCGGAACCGCCCGTTATGCTTCCATCAACACCCACTTGGGTGTCGGTATGTTATCTTTCCACGCACCCAAACCCCTTTCCGTTTCCTCCTGGCCACTGACAGCTTCGCAGAGCAATCTCGCCGTGACGACATGGAGTCCCTGGGCTACGTCATGCTCTACTTCTGCCGTGGATCCCTTCCCTGGCAGGGACTTAAGGCCGCTACCAAGAAGCAGAAATACGACCGCATCATGGAGAAGAAGATGACCACCCCGACCGAGGTCCTTTGCCGCGGCTTCCCCAACGAATTCGCCATCTACCTCAACTACACCCGATCCCTCCGATTCGACGACAAGCCCGATTACAGCTACCTCCGCAAGATCTTCCGTGATCTCTTCGTCCGCGAGGGCTTCCAGTACGACTACGTCTTCGACTGGACTGTCTACAAGTACCAGAAGAATGCTCAGGCAATTGCTCAGGCTGCAGGAGCCACTCAGGAGGAGGATGAAAAGGCGCGGGCATCTCGCACGAACGCCGCTACTGCTGGTCAGCCGACCCCTCAGCCTGGCGCTAATAAGCCTAACGCCCTTCCCAGCTCGCGCCGCAAAGTGATTGAACGAGGATCTGGTGCTGGTGTAAACACCCCAGATACCAACCGTGCCGTCGGTGGAAGTGACAGGATGTAAGTTGATCGCCCAAGCAGCTCATCGACCACTGGCTGTTGAACCCGTTGCTGACAAACGCATGCTGACCTAGTGGACGATGATCTAGTTTGCGCTCGTCTACGAAGGGCGCAAGTCCAGCATATGGTTCAAGTTCCTTTCTGCCGAAGTGATCCTCGACGGCGGTAACCACATGCTTTCTGTCCAACACGTTGGAGTATGACCAGACCGGCTTACTGGCTTCATCCCTTCCGTGGCATGGCTCTCAGACATCACGATTGGTACGGGTTCTGCTCACCAGCAGGGTCTCTTTGATGATACGCCTTGCCACGCGAACTGGTCGCATTCTCCTTACGCATTCTCAACTTCGTTCTTCGACATATTTGGGTTGATTTCACGAATGACTCGATTCTTCATAACAGGACTCTCGATTTCACAGACGCCCCGGTAGACCTTGCTGCCGAAGCTCTATGGTTCGATATCCATGGTAGGAAGAACTCGAACGGCACTTCCGGTACCTCAACTTTGCGAGGCACCGTCGTCGGGCCGCCCCGCGAGACATTCCCCCACCCCCAACTTGAGTGCCTCGGTTTAGCACCTTGCACCTGGTCGATGCGTTGGAGCTGCGTTCACCGACGGACTTTTCCTTTTTTCCTTCTGTTCTTTTCCTCTTACTTTTCCTTCCGATTATGCGCATTACGAGTTGATTTTCATTCGAGGCTTCGCACTTGGTCAATCACGCGTCGAGGCCCGCTTCTGGGGAGGTCGTTAGGTGAGGGGTCGATCACGAGAGAGAAACTTTTGCGAAGTATCAGGCCTGCCGACACTGTCTGACAAGGACTACGATCATTAAGTCGGCAAAGACAAGGAACGGCAAGGGAATGACGGTTGCAAAATTAATGAGGAAGAGTGCGGCATCTTTTCTTTGGCTTTTGGTTCGGTTCGGTTGGTTGGGAATTCGTTGCTCCGACATTGCACGTGGGGGAAACTAGGAACTAGGTGACTAGTCGCCAAACCTGGTCTCTGGCAACTATTATGGGCTCTAGGAGACGGTCTAGCAAAGTTCTGGGATGTTGACAACGTCTACTTGTCTGCGTTGGCAGTCAACGCGGATTGTCGACCTCAGAACGCTGGTGCTTGGACTATCAACACTGCGCCTCCATCATCCGCGGGCTTTCACCGGCCTGGCAAGTTTGCATATGGTGGAGGCAGAGCACGGGTAGTTGTAGGCATGTCGAAGGGCAGCGGAACCAACCAACATACGCATGGTAGTTTCTCAATTTAACATTGTCGCGCGACTTTTCTTCTCTTGCAATTTGTGAATATGGCGGTGTAAATGCTGCAGGTCCACTACAACAGCCACAGCACTAGTATTCTCTCGGGATACGATCTTGACTGTGATGCGTAAAGAGGCATACTCATCTGCATGATGTGACTGCGGAAAACTTGTAGACTTGGATGTGAGAAAGATATCAAGTCATGAGACTGGTTGGCTCAACGGGTCAGGTGCGGCTTCGCTTGGTTCCATTTCGCAGGGCACGTCGACCAGCTGACTGCATGAAACGAGAGAAGCAGTACCAAATGGATGTCGTCAGGTGCAAAGTATATCCGCATATATATAGGTATGTTCGAATCATCGCGGCATATTCTTATCGTACTCAGTAATGTCGTGCATCACGATGAAAGTTTCCCATCCTACACCAACATTTGCCATCTGCAAAGCTGAACTGGACTGACTCTCTTAGGTGAGTACATGACGAGTGTTGGGACGTCGAGGGGTGTCAGGGATGTTCCCCAACCTGAAGGATCCCTCATTCCCTCCCCTTAACTTCATAATCATCATCTTGTAGCTTGCACATGAAGTCGGCTTTGGCATTTGGCAGTCACTCTCTCTCTCTGTGAGTTTCTGGCAAGAATCAAGCTTGGGAGCGGGGCAGTTGGCGTGAGCTTGTCTCGTTCTGATCAATGCCATTTGAAAGCTACTGGGCAGCTACAGCCTACCGGGCAGCTAGCGCGTGGCTGAGTGAGTGTTGACCGCACTTGCAACCCACCTAATCAACACTTCTCAGGCGATCCTGCCAAACCATCTTGGTGAGGACGGACAAGGGACAATGTCAAGTGGTCTGAAGTCGTGTGCGCTCTTGCCAACTCTATGGTCTCCTCCTATATCTACTACTCGACTTCTTCTTCATACTCTCTCAACATTCACTCAGTTTTATCACTTTGTCTCGTGAACTTCCCAGCTCGTCATACCTATTGTGCTCTTGGAAAGAGGAGGGGTAGAGAGCTGACTAACAAGGTAGGCCACCTCTAGCCGAGTAATCCCAGCACACCAACTCGATAATCGTCATCGGCGGCTATTACCTCCGACAGAGCTTCGATGGCGACCCTTGTCGACGTCAACTCCACCGCACCCGCCGACAAGATGGCTCCCTCGACGCTCGACCTGTTCATGTTAACGTTCAATTGCGCCAAGAACTTTATCGACACTCACGTCTTTGCGTCAAACCTCCACACAGCTTTCAAGCAGAGCGCGACTCCCCTCCCAGAGGTTGTTGTCTTGTGAGTGCAGCGTTTTGCCGCCCCCTTGGGTGTAACAAAGCTGACCAGATTACCTCCTACCAGCTCCTTACAAGAATTCGCGCCGTTATCGTACTCTTTCATCGGCGGCTACTTTCTCAGCCCGTACCTCACGCGCTTCGAGGAAGCCCTGAACCTCGCTGCGACCAGATACACCAACGAAAGTCCCACCTCGGACGCCGACAGTCATGATGGAGCCGACGATGAGACGATACTGGTCAAGCCCACCGCTCCTACACCTGTGCGACCTTACACCCTGATCCGGACTCGTAATATCGGTATGACGGCCATTATGCTCTTTGCGCGGAACCCCGAGTCGATCCTGCGTGTGCAAGAGGCGGAGGTGGGCTTTGGCGCTGCAGAAATGGGCAACAAGGGCGCTGTGGCGCTCAGAGTCTTGTATGAGGGCACGACGACCGAAGGTGGGAAAAAGGAGACGGAGCTCACCTTCGTAGCTACGCACCTTGCGGCAATGGAGTGGAATCTGCCGAGGCGAAATGCCAACTGGGCGACCATCATGCGTGGCCTGACATTCGAGAACCCGGAAGATATTCTGCACCCGAAGAAGAATAAGCCAACCACTCCTACACATGGAGAGGGCCAGGCTGAGGGTGCCAGAGATGAAGCAGTGCACTTGTTGCACGACGAGCATCAAGCACAAACGCTCGCACTTCAGGAACGGCTACAGGAGATATCCGTCTTCAAGCCAAGCTCCCATCTTTTTGTCGGTGGCGACCTCAACTATCGCATCTCAACAACGAGCCCGCCGCCAATGGCGACATTTCCCAGCCTCGACCCCGACAGCGAACATCATTACTCCCGCTTCTTCGCCTTGGACCAGCTCACGAGAGAACGACAGGCAGGGCGCACGTTGCACGGCATGAGCGAGGCAGAAGTCAAGTTCCCTCCGACCTACAAATACAACGTCCTGCCCCAAGATGACACCCGCCTGAAGGTCGATGGTGTGGAGGACGTGCCTTGGGTGTTTGCACCTCACCGATACCCTGGTTGGACGGATCGCATCTTGTACCTGGACGTCCCTTCGTGGGTCAAGACCAAGCCTCAAAAGGTCGACGTTAAGATCTACGACGCCATGCCCGTAGTCCGCAGCTCAGATCACAGGGCCGTTTTTCTGAGAGCTGCCGTTCCCCTCCTCACCGAGAAGGAGCTGGTCCGCTCATCGACGGAAGCCCCCACGTCCAATGCCGTGGATCCCCGCCTCGTTCTCCCGGTAGCCATCGACCCGGAGGCCTGGGAGCGACGTGCGGCAGCAAGACGGAAGGAAGTCCTTGTTGGCTGGAGCATGTTCCTGTGGTCTACTAAGCAGGGGGCGATGATACTAGCCACACTGTTGGCTGTGGGCGCAGGTATCTGGTGGCTGAGCTGAGCTGAGCTGAGCCGAAGGCTTGAGCCAGCAATGCAGCATAGAGGGAGGCGACGTAGTGGGACTTGAAGATATACCCTGGCCTTGTTTGTCGTTTGGACCTTCATGTACGTACACGTTCAACGCGAAGGATTCGGGGATGGCTCCCAGCGATGGGCGGGGTTGAAGGAACCGCGAGCGGGTTTTTGGTTTTTAGAGCGGAGCATTAGTTACAACGCATCATGAACTCGAACTGAACTATAGATCCGATCAAGATTTTTCGGTTCTCGTATATGAGTATCCTTGAACGATGTTTGTCTGCTATCCGATCTTGGTGGCTCAGCCACAATTGACTTGGTCCAATATCTCATGTCAACAAGACCATAAGCCAATCAGACCACGACGAACAGTCAGCTTCTTTAGCCAAGCATGAACCATCTATCGACACCATCCTTCAGATCTCGAGGGGGAGCAAGGGAGGTAAGCGGGCCATGCCATGGCATATCCGGCTGACACGGGGCGCGAGTCAAAGTGTTTCCGACAAAATGGAAAGGTGCTCGTTTTCGTCAGCGGCGTCGTGGCGTTGGAGATGGGGTATGTGTTTCCCAGACCACCGGGACGCGGGTCGAAGACCGGGACTTGAGATGGGGCTTGCAAGGGTTATCCCGAGACTAGTTTGAAAGGCAGCTCGAGACGAGGGTTTCTTTTGTCTAGATTTCAGAGAAGGGACAGGAGAGACAGGAATAGGACAAAAAGGAATGAAGAGGGGTCCCGGGTTCCGGCTCGGGTTGTTCATTTCATGGTCACTTCCCGGTGGTAGAAGATGTAAAGGGACAGCTCCGGAGGCATGAATGTTGCTCTCGAGTTTTGCTAGATCGGATACCTTTTCTTAGCCGCGCGTCTCCGCGGAAGCCCTCCATCAAGAATTTGAGAACTGTATCTGTTGGAGAAATAACATCGACTGGGTGACAATGACTTATGTTCAAGACTACTTGGAGTCGAATTCCTACTTGTGAGGCTCGGGCAAGACTTGGGGTTTGGCTTGGCATCTCGTAACTCGTGACACGTTTTTGACGATGCATATCTGTCTGGTGAATCGGTAATTCAGTATGGCGTTGCACTCGCATTCGGCGGCCCGGCCGGAACTCTGCCAAGACAACCACGGCGTGGCAGAGTGCACCTGAACTCACAAAGAGCTTTCAGAGTTGTGCTTAATATCCACTTGGGCTCCGAAGAAAGACCTTGAAAGCCGGGAGTATTACGCACGGAGCAGAGTCCAAAACAGGCGAGGCTTCTCAGCAGACATGAGGTTCGTCTGGGCGACATGTAAAGCGCTAGTTGATCCGATAAATCGCCGGATCAGGACTCTGAGACCGAAGGCCCCAATCGAGCGTGATGGGAAGCTCATTTCAGCCTTACGCCTACGCCGAACGTCAAAGGACTTTTCGAAACGCACTAGACTGCTGTAGACAATCGAGATCTGGCGTGCGACGAACGCCGCGATCCTCGGAAGCGAACGGGGCGCGAGCCACCTCAACAATGAACATCTTCATCTCTGTACTCGGGGCTGGAAATTGGTGCTTATTTCAGACACTGCCGGCCGGACGACCTGGAAAACAGGGAGAAATTTTCACTGAGAGGAGCAGAGAGCGGTTTGTTGGGGGCTGAAGTGACATAACCGTCGGGCCCTCGCCGCACTCAGGCATGGGCGCGACTCATGTCAAGGACGTAAAGGAAGCAAGACCCAGGCCAAGCCGCATGGCGCTGACGAAAGGCCGGTGAGGATCTCAGTGATGTGTTTCTGATTGACTGGTTGCCGGCATACCAAGGTTTCGTGGCCCGTCGAATTGCCAATTTTGACATGTTGTCGGACAAACTCTCCTGAGATTGATTTTATGGTGTAATTCTTAAGCTCGGCTATGACGAGATATCAAGATCCAGTAGAGGTTATTGTGGTGCTGAGTATGGCAGAGCGGCTATGCTTCCCCGTACCGCGGATAACACGTGGTCGACTTGCCAGGCCGTGGTAGAAACGGCTCGGATTGCGAAGCCGAAAAGCATATCGTAACGGTTGTTGGCTCGGAAAAGTCAGTGTCAATGAGCGAGCTGAGGTGTGGGCGAGAGGTGGGATGAGATCGAGACGTTGCGTCATAGCCGCCGATAAGAGTCGCTTGCATGCAAGGTGTATCACTGATCAGGCCCTTTCCCTCCCCGCGGGACCGGATTCCGCATGGCCTGGGCGAGATCTGACTGACCATGAGGCGGCCCTGTGCGAAACTGGATGTCTTGGATGCGATGAAAGCCTCGGGGGAGCAGCAACGCCAACGGTTGTTTATTCAATAGCGACGCCTCCATCAGCCGTAGCCTAAGACTGTCTCTGTCAGTTAGTGTTATGTCTCCTTTTTTTGCCTTTACCGTCTTTTCATCGGCTCTTAAACGTCCGGAGGCCGCGTCAGAGCCACCTTTCTTTGGCTGTGGCAGCCACATCTGCTACGCCACGGTGGTATGGTGAGGGAGACAGAGCTTGATATCGCCGCCGCTTGTTTTTTGGCCGACGGAACGCCGTAGGTGGGCGCTACGGAAGAACCAGGAGAATGGAGACCGATCAATGACGGAAGGGTATATGGCAAAGGTGAGGCAGGCCAATACGAATCTAGGAGACTGTCCGCTGTGGTTCGGGCTCTGGATTAGAGCGGTGGACATGGACGTTTTTTTGTTGCCTCGGAAAGCTCTATATCTAACAAGTACGAAGTCTCGAAAGGCCCCTGGAAAAATAGAGGATGAAAAAACCCACAGTCCCAGGGCGTCCCAGGGCTTCGGAGATTTATTCGGATGTGGGAGTCAGGGTGCCTGATCGTGGACGACATCGGATTGAGAGCGTATCAGCATCTGCTTAGGAGTGTAAGCGATATCTGGGCTGATATCAGCAAATCCAAGTACAGGTGGTCAGTCAACAGGGGGCGGCGGAGCTTTCTTCGTCTGGGGATGGGAGGGAGACGGCAGAAGAGTACTTCCGTAGGTGGGTGAGACTGGCGGGACAGATTTCAGTGTGATGAACAAAGCGAAATAGCTGGTCGGTGCTGTTGACGAATGTTGCAGAAAGAGGCGAATGGGTCATGAAGAAAGGGGTCGAGTATTATTAACCCGTAATACTGCTGTGATGCGAGCTGAGTGCCAGAGCCCAGAGCTGAAGCGGTGCCATGTGGGGATGACGGACAGCCTCCGTAGCTGACGGTCCCAGGCGGATGTTCCAGACGGAATGGAATGGTCGTAGCGAGGTGTTGGTAGGGGGGCCACGCGAGGAATCGACTGTCAGCGTCGAGAAAGACTGGAAGAAGAAGACGAAGAAGAAGAGGAGTGCGAGTGTGGCCGAGGCGGGCCGAGTCGAGACATGGGCAGAAGAGTGAGTCCCCGGATTTCCACCGGGTGGACAGGAGGCTACTCCCAAAGAGGCAAGACCATGTCGGTGGTTCCGCTGGATTACACGCCGCACCCGCTGCAAAGCTGCATAGTCGAGACTTGTTTCTCCATCGACTCTACCTACTGCGTTCTGCTGCAGTATCTGGCCGGGTGGCTAAGCGTTGCGAACGTGCCCAAGGTAGGTAGTGAGTGTACTTACGAATGACAGTCGTGGATTGGGATTGGACAGGCTGTAAGAAATTGAGAAAGGCGGCAAACATGTCAAAGTGCTGCTGTTGGTGAGGTTACAAGTGCAGGTTGAAGGAGCGACCGACCCATCCACACAATGCAAGTCCACATCCACACGGCCTTCCACCTTACTGCGCACCTCAGTAAGTACGCTGTACTTGTCCACGCGGTGAGTGAGAAAAGGAGGTACTCGGGATACATCTTGCCTCACATTGGGCTGTGGTGTGCAAGGCATGGTAGAGGGCGGTCAAGGTATCACGAGGTATCGCGGTCGCAAAGTGGGAAGGAGCGAAAGTGGGCGGCGTGGGAGGGTACCCCCGTGTTGTCGGGTAGCAAAGAAGCCAAGAACCCACGCCTCTTGCCTGCCCATAACGTGGTGTTCCACGTCCCATCCCGGCAATCACAACCTAGCGGTCCCTGCCATTTGAAGCAGCAAATAGCCAGAGGGCTCTGAAGCAGCAAGTACGGAGTAGTCGCGCTCTGCCCCTCCCTCCTCCCTCCTTCCTGGTCCGCCCCATAAATGCTCCTACCGTATGTAGCTGTCTATTCTGCCTGCCTTTCGTCATTGCCACGGCCCTTTCATCTGAAGGTTTTCCTCTTCCTGAAAGGTTACCACCAACGAGAAAGAGTGGAAGACGTGCTCTCCTCCCACCACATACCTTACCTTACCGATCCCAATACAGACACAGAGCACGACCGGGAGAGGAACGATATCCTACCCTCGCCCATATCAAACGTCGCGAACGAACCACTCGCGGGTACTTGACCTCGATATCCATTTCTAGCAGCAGTGGTCAGTCGCCCCAGGGGAAGAAACGGTACGGCGTGTCTTCCCGCCAGCTCCAGTTCGACAGCTCCGAACCACACATATCCATCCCCAGTCCTGGGCCTAGACCCAGCACCAGACGAGGCCTCGATCCGAATCGAACCCCTTTCCACCACCACAACTCCTTCCCATTGACCACTCACCTCACGGGGCGCAACGAAATACAACCTATTTCCTTCCTTCTTCACCCATCTAACAACCTCACGACGACTGGTCGACCTTGACCTGCCTTATTCGACCCGACCACCTTTTCGGGCCGTGATGGTGACGATCGACGTGCTGTCAAGCTGAACGAATAACCATACCAAACAATTTTTCAGATCCGAACCGAATACCCCCTACTCTATATGACGGGAATAGCAGCCATCAACAAAAAAATACATAATATGGCGGCTACCGTTGCGCATGCGAACCCCCTGTCGAACCAGGTCGGCGGAGGCTTGTCCAAGATGATGGGCGGAGGCAGTAGCAGTAATGGCCACACTCAGGTTCAGGCTCAGGCTCAGGCGCAACAACATTCCGATGCTGGAGCCGGACCTATTGCGAGCCGGAAGTTGACTCCTCAGGACTTTCGCGTTGTAAGAACGCTTGGAACTGGTTCGTTTGCGCCCCTTCCCCCATGTCTCGCTGCACCTGCCTTGTCTCGGAATACCGTTTGCTAACCATGGACCTTAACCGTGCAGGAACGTTTGCTCGGGTGTGTCTTGTGCGCCCGGCAAATGCGACTGAAGAGGAGCGCGATACCGTTTTCGCGCTGAAGATATTGCGGAAAACAGAGGTCATCAAGCTGAAGCAGATCGACCACGTCCGTCACGAACGTCTAATTCTCGGCGATGTTGCCGGCCACCCCTTCATCACAAATCTTATTTCCTCCTTCGCCGACCGCGATCACTTGTACATGCTGCTAGACTACGTCCCCGGCGGCGAGCTTTTCAGCTACTTGCGCAAGTTCCGGCGCTTCGAGGAGGAGACGGCGCGCTTCTACGCTGCAGAGATTGTTCTAGTACTGGAGTACCTTCACGAGCAACAAGGCCGTGTCGCGTATCGTGACCTCAAGCCCGAAAACCTTCTCCTGGATGGCGACGGCCATATCAAGTTGGTCGACTTTGGCTTCGCAAAGAGGCTGAGCAATAGCTCAGGGCAGCCCATTGAGACTTACACACTCTGCGGCACCCCCGAATACCTCGCCCCGGAAGTGATCCATAACAAAGGTCACACGACGGCGGTGGACTGGTGGGCGCTGGGCATTCTGATATACGAGTTCTTGACCGGATACCCGCCATTCTGGCACCAGAACCCAATCGAGATCTACAAGCAGTGAGTTACACCGCAGCGGTCGGCAGGCTCCCTCTTTCTCATTGCAGTAGCCACTAACAAACTTGGCAGGATTGTCGAGAAGCCCGTCATGTTCCCTCATGACCCGCCAGTATCAGCCGAAGCTCAAGATCTGATCAGATCCTTCTGCACAGTAGACCGATCCCGACGACTAGGCAACGTTAGCGGGGGAGCAGCCAAGGTCAAAGAACACCCCTTCTTCCGAGGGGTCAACTGGGACGACATGTACCACCGACGAGTGCGAGGCCCCATCATCCCACCGATTCGATACCCCGGCGATGCGCAATGCTTCGACATTTACCCCGAGGACGACGGCAAGAGGGAGCCATACACAGAGGACATGGTCCAGAAGTACGACCAGTACTTTAAGGACTTTTGACGCAAGCTTTGTCAATCTTTTCTACCCATCATTGTATGAATCATGCGTTCGGAGTTGTTCTTTACTCGGAGGAGTTGGTCTCCGTAATTCTTTCATGTTTTTTGTTATGATACTCCAACCTGTAACTGTACTGCATGAGACTTGGTAGCGAGGATCAAGAGAATGAGCGGCCCATTCAGTGTCGCTCGAGAGAGGCAGAGCTTGGGCATGGGGGGAAGAAGCTGCTAGGCTTCGGTCTGGAATATGTGTGTGAGGGAAATTCTGCTGGTCAAACCCTGGATAAGGTAGGCATCGCTGGGTATTGATTTTTTTTTTCCCACCCCATTTCACTCGGGTATTTGAAGGCGTTAGATTACGATTGGAGAATTAGCCAGCCTGTACCGGGGGCAATTCAGGAACTCTGGAACCTTGTCTTTCGGAGGTAGGAGATACTCCGATCAAGGAATAGAAGAGGATTTTCGTGTCCATATGAGGCATCGCAGTCATGACCGGCGGTTGTTGTCTCTTCCTGTTGCCCCAGTGCCCATATGCAAGTGAGATGCCGTGCCATCACAGAAAGAAGCAAGTCAAAAGACACGAGCAAATCGCAACGTGCTGCCCGACCTGAGATGGCTGACCAGGTTGTCAGAGCGCCCCCGTGAGCACCGACCAAAAGTCCTGGCAAGGCCAATGACAGCATGGGTGAGTGTCTCAGCTCCTTGGGGAGCTAGCCGAGTTGGGCATGACACATGCTCGTGGATTGTCACTCTGGTGATGGGCCAATCTCACGTCACCTGAGCCAGACGATGCGTTCCCTTTCCCAGACTCATCTCACCTGTATCTCATTTTGGTTATAGCCCAGCAATCGGGTTTTGTGTCGGACAGTTTGATGAGGCTCTTTGTTGTAGTGAAGGCCTTGGTGAGGGCCATAGGGAAGGAAGTGACATCATCTCAACTTGATCTGAAGGGTCAACCAGACTGGAATGTCCAAGGTGGGATAAATGCCATCATATCCGTACGGCGGAAAAGGCAAGGCAGATCAAGGGGTTGCAAACCAAAAGTGTGTATAGGTGTGTGTGACCTCTCGCTGAGTAAAGGGGGAAAAGAGGGAGTAGCCGGGTGAGTTTAATGGGTGAGATGAGAATGAGACTGACGGAAGAGGTGGAGTGCCATGACCTAAGAATGGTCGGCGCAGGCGGGTTGCAAATAAGGTGCAGAGGGGTTACCCCTCTGCAGGGGACTGCCGGGCTGCGAACCGCCCACGCCGCCCACTATGAGGTGCCTCCCGTGCAGTCCGATTAGGGGTAGCAAGCCTCTCACCTTGCCAGGTGAGGTAGGTTGCTAAGGTGCCTGACTGCCGTTCACGAGCACCTAAAGTCGCCCAGGTGGGAAGCGTTAGGGAGGTGGGAGGTAAGGTGTGAGTGGTGCAGGTGGGCTGCCACAGCTGCAGGTCACTAGCAGTTCAGATAGGGCAGACGGGCTCAGAAAAGGTAGGGTGGGTACGTACCGTGACCCTCTGGGCATAGACGGAATCCTTGGCGGGAAACCTCTCCAACTATCCACTGTATTGCATTCAGCTCCAGTCCCGACCTTTGGCCCGCAGCTGCTTACTGCTTCTCTCCCCATCAAATCATCCAACGAAATCCCACACACATACTCTCTCTCCGAACACCGAATCGAACAACTGCATTTCAGTCTCGAGGCGTACTGATGCTTCAAGAACCATCCATTCATTTGCTGTGACGCCAAAGCTCCTTTCACTCCTTCGGCAGCCAGCACCTCGTTTTAGGCTCGAACCACCCTCACCCTTCCAAGTCTGCAAGCCGTCGACCAAGAGCCGACCTTGCCTTACGCATCCCGCGAATCTGTATCCATCCGGCCCAAGCCGAGCCCTTCGATTCGCGCTCCCCTTACGATACCACTCCCCGACATGACCAGCTGAGTGCAACAGCATCAGGATGTTCACTCTATCCAGTCTCGTGCAGAAGGCACAGCAGTTGGTCGACCCGACCCAAGGGCTGAACCTGACCAACTCGGACAAGAACCCATCCAAGTCATCGCTGTTCCAGAACCAGTTCCGCCTACCCAGTACCCAGACGCCGCTGTACGAGATCAATGCCGAGTTGACCATCCCGCCCGCCAATGCCACCTATGGAGGCAAGGACCACGATCGAGGCTACCACTACGCTGGCAAGCTACACCTGTCTGAAGGCTACATGTGCTTCTCCACTACCCCATCCAGTTTCGTCCAGGGCGCCAGCACCTCAACAAGCTCTGCCTTCACCGGCCAAACACATGGCGGAGGCCCCAGTGGAAATGGCTTCACCTTTCCCCTCTGCGCCATCAGAAGGGTGGAGAGGTTGAACAGCCAGACATTCCAGGTAAGGTTGCTCCAAACTCCGGGTTGTGACATTGACAACAGTCCGTGCTCCATCCCCCGCAAGGCCATGAACTGACATGCTGCTCTACCACGTAGTTTGCCTTGGCGATTACCACATGGAATGGCATCAATCAGCAAGAGAAGAAGGACAAGGACAAGGAAGCCGTCCCCGACAAGGATAAGAAGGATGTTAGGGAACAAAGGATCACGATACACCTTGCCGGTACCCGCCAGGGCTGCGAGCGCTTCTGCGACGGCCTGAAAAAAGGACTGAGGGCCGGCGTTGGGAATGTTGGCAAATA